GCAAGAAGTCAATCTTTCCCCAGTGAGGTCGCCATTTTTTTCCTGTAGTGGTACAAATGTTAAGACTAAGCCATTGGATTGACTAGACTTATACATATCAAAATAAAAATCTCCACTGTGCTTTATTATTTTCAAAGGAATGGGAATAGAGCGAATAACCCAAAAGAGGGGGAAAGATTCAAGGTAAGGGGGTTAGTTATGCAAAGGGAAGGTATTAGCACCCTAAACATCTACGGTACTCCGCAGGATCCTCTTTGTAAAATCTGTATATTTTGGCTATAAAATGTTGTATAAAAATAGATGGTGGAGATGAGAAAAGAAATATTTTTTTAATGATTTGTGTACTCGCCGTGGTTGCGAACCTTTAGTGCCTACGTACCATATTCTGTGCAACAGGGGATTAAGCTACTCGAAGTTCACCTTTAAAAATTTTAAAACACAAGTGTGTTGGTTAATTTTATGAGATAAGACATCATCGTCATTGTCTGTATGGAAAACATACGTACTACCCACAATCATGAGAAAGGAGAATTTGCATCATCTCAAAGTGGAGGATATGGCTTGGATTTTAAAATCAACAATGCCTCACTCAACACCCAAGTGGAAAATATTTCACTTCACTACATATTATAGAAGTATAGTTGTTTGCATCACTACAAGGATTGACAAGAGTCTAATCTTTTGAGAAAATTTTTAAAGTAAAATCCAAAGTGGCAAAAATGGTTTCAATGAGATTGATTGACTTTTAGTCTTCTCACAAAAAAAAGTCCAAGTATGGTTAGATTGATTAATGTTTGATTAAGAAAATATTTTTGAAAATACATGGACCTAAGTCCAAGTTTATTACGAAAGCGGTTCAAGTTTTTTTTTAAACAAGAAGAGTTTTCAAAAGGAGGGAGAAGATTTTTGAAATTAAAGAAGATGGGAGGAGATGAAGGGACTCTTCTAAAGCATAAGGTAAAAGATAGGGAAGAGAACCATCTAACCAACAAGAAGTTAAAAATTGACATATGAGTCAAGATAGAATTACCGTTCTTTGGATTGAAACCAAGAAATGATACTAACCTCTTGAGAAAACCAACCTTTAATTGCATTTAGTCTTCACAAAAATTGGTCAGAGTAACGATTGTATACAGATGAATTCTAGATTACAGACAAACCATGTAATCACAATAACCTGCACACAAAACAAATAAATAACCAAATATCTTGGGGTAAACCCCAAGAACTCCAGACAAAATATCAATTAAGGTCACAAGGTCTCCAACATAAGCCAAGGTTTCTATTCCTAAGTCCAAGAAGTCCAATACTCCATAATGCCAAGGATAGTAACCAAATAGTCCAAGTATAATTAATTTTTTTTATGGTTCATGTTGATTATTATGTATCTTCAAAAGGAAAAGAAAAGCTTAAGTGAACAAAATAAAAATGACATAAAAGTAAATGCTCAAGTGAGAAAATATGAAAATAGCATGAAATGTAAATGCTAAATTAAATGGTGCATAAAGTAAATGGCATAAAATAAAAGCATAAAATAAAGTCAATTATTAGAAGTTAATGGTTAGTTGGATGACCATCTTGAAACTTGCATTTGGAACTCATTAGAGGATTGGTAGAATTAAAGCCTCTCAACAACAAGTTGTATTTTCTTTTTGTCAAGTATATCATCTATTTAAGAATCGTCAAGGTAACATTTAATGATCAATGATGCTTAAGTGATCCTCATTGACCAAAATTGATGAAGATCCATTGGAGGATTGGTAGAACCAAAGCCTCCTAACAATAAATCTCAAGGTTATTGGATCAAAGGGTTCAAATTAACATACTTGGGCTTGCAAACGTAGGTTTGGGCCACGAATGATCATTTTCTCAAATCGGGACAAAATTTAGCGCTATGTTAAGCAATCGTAAGTGGACTTATGTAGAAGTCGCACCTATATTGAGGCCCGTCAATAGCAATCTGTGTACTTCATGTTTGGACAAATGTTATAGAGATCATTATCCCTTAACATGTAGTACAAATAAAAAAGAAAGGGATAAGATGAAGATGGAGGGGAATGATAAGCTAATTTGGATCACCACCTTAAATTTCTTTCATCTTTAAATTCAATCACTCATCTCGATGGATTAAAGTACTAAATATATTATTAATCCAAAACACCAAAAATGAATTAAATAATTCACTCTTAGGTAGATTTGAATTAATGAACATTTATCAAACTTCATCTACACCCAGAGTCCATTGAATTTAAAGAGAAATTGGACATTTAAAATTGCAATCCAAATCAACAATCAAAAGGAGTGAGTAAGAAAAGATATGGATCAAAACAGCCCCAAAACAAGGCAGAAAATACATTTTAGCTTTGTTACAATCGATTGCACTCTGGAAGCAATCGATTGCATCAATACTTTTTTTCAAAAAATACATAAAATCATTATGTGACAATCGATTACGCTATGGGAGCAATTGATTGCACCCTGTGCAAAACAGCAAATCAGCATTTCAAAAGGCAAAATTCTTATTCAATCTTTCCATCAAACACCTTATGATCATGAGTTTAATTGAGCATTAAACCATCAAATTCTGAGAAAATAACATCAATAGAATCAAAAAACAATGCTCAATTAATCGAATCCAAAGATCAATAAGAGATCACATTGTGAAAGATGAAGATCCAACTTACCAAAGGTAGATCTAGAGAATTATCAAAACAACTTCAAGAATTTGCTTCAATTCAACCCCAAGAATCAATTTCCCAAGCATGGATGTAGAGAATTGATAGAGAAAAAGTGTTTGGATGAAGATTTAGCTCAAAGATTAGTAAGCTTCAATGTAAAGCTTACTAAGTTTTTTTTTGAAAATGGAGCTTTGAGTGAATTTGGTAGATGGAGGGAATAGAGAGATTTTTTAGCAAAGTGAATATGGCTATCAAAAGCTTGAGATTTGAATGAAATGAGGGCTCTATTTATAGATTTTAGGCTTGGGATTAGTGGTGGTTTGGAGTTTGGTTTGCGAAATGAAATTAGGTTTGGTAATTGATTCTTGGAGCCAAAATTTGAATTAATGATATATCTTTTAAAAAATTAAGAAAAATTGGAGCAAAAAAAATGACAAGCTTGAAATTGCTGATTTTTTCAAAATTTCACTCTTTGCAATCGATTGCACTCTGGGAGCAATCGATTGCATCAGTGTTTTTTTTCAAATATTGCGCCAAATGCACTCTTTGCAATCGATTGCATCCTAAGCGCAACCGATTGTACAGTGAAAATGAAAATATTTTAATTATTTTTATTTGCAAATAGAGATTTTAGGAAAATAATACCGGAAAACCTTATTTGTCAGACGCTTTGACTTGGTACCTACAAAACACAAATATACAAAGACAAAGACAAATATTTTTTGTATTTTAATTAGAAGTTAATCAAAAACACATATACAAAATACAAAAATAAGGTGCTTGGAGATCCCTCAAGAGCAAACTTAAAGATAGGAGATAGAAAAAGAGGAAGAACCAACGCTAATGTGATCTTGTTATGATCTAGTTGATATGATATGATAGGGGAATCTTAGGGGCAAAAATTGGAGTACAACAACATTGATCAGAAAAGTTTAAAGAATCTCTTAGTACAAACTATTCAAATCCATGAACAACAAAAATGGACAGCAAAATTGCAAGGTTTTCACTTTGACATTTTTTAAAAACCCGAGAAATCCAATCAAGTTGTTGGTGCGTTAAGACGAATACAGATTGCAGATGACGCCATTCTTCTTTCAATTTCTTCTCTAATACCTCTTCTCATCCACCAGCTTAAACGGTACTACAAGAACAATAAGGAGGGTCAACTTCTCATGAATAAAGTATTAATTGATCACAACATACATCCATTGTTTCAAGTGAAAGAAGAACTCATCTACTACAAAGATAAGATATGCATACCTCAAATGGATGAGTTACGCCAGAACATTCTGATGGAATACCATTCAAATCTGATAGTAGGTAACTCCATTCTCTAACCCACCTTGGCTCGCCTTCCATCTTCATTCCTTTGGCCTGGCATTTACAGAGATACAAAAACTTATGTTCAAACATTTTTGTATGTCAGCAAAATAAATATGTTCCCAAGAAGAAAAAATGACTCCTACAACCCCTACTCACACCCAATCAAGTTAGGGATGATTTAACAATGGACTTTATTACGCATTTACCTATGTCATTCGGACACACGCTAATCTGGGTCATATGTGACAGACTCACAAAGATTTGTCATTTCATTGGACTCCCCGCTAAGTTCACTGCTAAGGATTTGGGTTTACGATTTTTGGTGGAAATTTGTCCTCTGCACGACATACCCAAATCCATCATCTATGATCGTGATCCTATTTTTCGCAGAACCTTTTGGAAAGAACTCTTTCGTGCCCAATGCACCACCTTGAAGTAGAGTACGACATACCACCCTGAAACTGACGAACAAACAGAGGTATTCAATCGGTTTTTAGAAACATATTTATGGTGTTTTGCAAGTGAACAACCAAAATAATGGTTCAAATACTTACACCTTGATGATTTTTGGCACTACACATCCCTTCACAGTTCCATCAATATGTCCCCTTTCGAAGCCCTTTATGGACGAGCACCTCCTTCTGTTCTCCATTACACCTCATGTTTATCTCCTCTCTTGGTCGTGGACATTTCCCTTTAATAAAGAGAAGAGTTATTATGTACTTTAAAACAAAACTTAGAGCACAACAGAAAAATCATGGAAAATCAAAGCAACAAAAAATGTCAAGATTGTACCTTTAACTAGGCTGACATGGTTTATCTTTATCTTCAGTCGTACCTTCAAACATCAGTCCACCATCGCACCTCTAACAAGTTCTCCAAGCGTTTCTTTGGCCCTTTCAAGATCCTCTACAAGATCGGAGAAATTGCTTATCACTTGGTTCTACCTTCATCTTCCAAAATCCACCCGGTGTTTCACGTTTCTTAGCTTTGCGCTAATCATAGCCCAGTTCCCACCAACACCTTCACTCTGCTTCCTTCTGAGTTCAAAGGCTCAGATGATTCCACCACTAACCCAGCGGATCCATGGCCTTCAACCCCACATGCAACAGTTGTAACGAACTTTAATAACGGTGAAATGCTTCATGATAACCACACAATGCCCGACTCTGATGTTTTACGAAATTTAGAGGATGAAACATCGAAAAAATTTGAGGGAAAAATGTGAATGTTTTAAAGAAGAGAGGTGAAAACACAAAAAATTTAGAGGGTGGAAGAGATAGTGAACACAAAGGAGTTTTGGAAGTATGTAGAAGTAGAGAGAGAACTAAGTTGAACAACTTACACTTCTCAAGTACTTATGTTGTTGATAAGTGTTCAGAAATACAAAAGGTGTTTAGTCCCAACGTTACTTCTCCAAAAAATCCATCTTATCTTTTAAAATATTTGGATTCCCTGCCATTCAATCCACACCATTTAATTTGATGCCAGTTGAGACCTCGAAACAATGTGCTTCTCAATCTCTTCATAGCCAGCCAGTTTCCCATGATAACACACTTCCCATTGAGCTGTCAAACAATAAAGTCCCTCTTAATACAGTTGTTTCCCATGCACCCATTATTAATTACAACCTTATACGTCTCCCCAATCCCTCCCACTTGATGTCTCCTGACCTATCTTATTCGAACCCAGCACCTTGCAAACTTTCCAGTGAGCCTCCTAATTGGGTCATTTCCTTTCAATCCACCAACACCCTTTTTATACCTAACCTTAAGGATAAAGGTGTTTTTAGACCGGATAGTTATGATAGAAGGCCATACGAACCAAAAACAAGCACATATGAATGCAAGACTATGTTCCCAAATAATATGCTTTTGTATTTAAAGTGGGCTTGGCCCATTAGTTGAATCCAATAGAATTCTGTTTTGTATTTAAAGCACTTATGACTTATGGTTGTCATAGAAAATCATTCAGAATTTATATTTTATCTTTCTTCCTTGTTTTATGTTTTCTCTAATGATAAAATCTTAAATCTGGAAAATAATTGCATTAATCATTTTATCATATTCCATATAAAGCAACCAAATTATTATTAGAAATGTTTAATTTAAAAAATCACATGATATATTTTACCATTTTTTTATATTATAATATGATTTTGAATATAAATTATTTATATAATTTGAACCAACGTCTTAGATACACTACTCGTCTATGTATGATATTAAATTTATTTATAACTAAAATCAAATATGTTTATCAATTTAAGATTTATGTGTAAAAATTATTTTCACAAATACTAAATCACAATTAAACTCAAAACTATTAGTACTACTTAGTTTTATTTTGAAGTTTACAAGAGAAGAAGCTCACTAACTCATGTGTCTCAATAATGGGAAGAACCAAAGAAAAAGCTACATATTATGTAGCTGAAAAACACATATGTCACCCTTGAATTTCGTTTGAATTGGAGTGTTTCATTTGATGTGTTTTTCCATTGCCCATTTCCATTGAATTCTCCTCTGTTGAACCATGTTTTTTTGGAATACCTTTATTGTCACGGTATATAAAATACAATATAAGTTGTATTGCTCCCAAAACAGATCCAAGACCATTAGGTACTTAAAACAAACATCATTCAACAATGAATTTTTTTTTCACAATATAAACTTAAACTTGCAAATTTAAATTAAAACCGAAGAGAGAGTAACTTACAGCAATAAATGGGTCATGACCTAATAGACCAAAGATAAACCAAGAAGTGTCGCAAAGAAACACAAACACTGACAAGAAGAATGGCATAAATTCCACACTTTTTCTTTTGATTACTAAACTCTGCACATAATTTCATATTAAGAATATATTATTTCATATATTGATAATATTGTTGTATTAACTAGTGAATAAGAGTTGGCTTACCATAATTGAGAGAGGAGAACCATACATAATCACTAAAAATATGACCGCAGCGAAGCCACAGAACATCTTCCTATATGTGTCGTGTAAGGCAAAAAGTGACACGAAAACAACAACAGAGAACACGGAGAGTACCACCGTGAATAGGCCAAAGATTTTGATCTTTTCTTTCTTAGGTGCAAATAGGATGAATATCAAAACATATATGATTTCAATTACTGCTCCAGTGCCATTTATTATTGATACTAGTATGTTGTGTGGAGACACAAAAGGAAGACCATACCTATAGATGTTAGAAATTAGAAGAGATTAAAAGACTAACACATTACACATACAACTCTTCTTCAACTAGTGAACTAAACCTTTTGAATATTCTATTAAGAGTTAATCTCTCCGGCTCGAGAGATTAATCATTACAGTTGCATGCTGAGATATCCGATTTATAAAAAAATCACTAAAGCAAAATTTCAATTGTTATTTAAGGTATCATGTGACTTGACACAATATTTGACAATAAAAATAGAAGCAAAAGCTAGTTTACCAAGTTGAAAGAAGACAATTGAGCAGTGTCATAACATATGGAATATCTGAAAACTGTCTGTTGATTTGTTCACTATAATCCTCTTGAATGTAATCTTGTACAAAACTCAACTCGTCGCAATTTACACTCAAAAACTCCACTAATCCATACATTGAAAAAAAACAAATATCAAAAACCAAACACACTTTTAGTCAGAAGTTCATATAGAGAAGGAATCATGTAAGTAATACATACATCGGTGCCAAGAAGAGGAACATAGCGGAAGCATTCCCTGAACTTTAGTCTCAACAACTACGCGATTAAATTGCAGAACTCCCTGGGTAATCAAATTCTGAACAGTGTCCTTCAACAATGAACAACCCCCTGGTTGTTTGAAGAAAACTACACAGTCTATCCAACAGCCCAAGAATACACCTTTAATTGACAATTTCTTTTTTACAAATGATAGAGGTGTAGTCAATTGATTAACATCCATAATCAAATTCAAATATTCATATTCCATGATGGCGCTAACAGTGGCACCGCCATGAGGTAGCAAAGGCCGGTTTGTAATATTGGGCGTTGGCCCAAAGTTAATGGCCTTAGAGTCCAATAGGTCTTGGACTTTGTGTTTGAAAGCATAGAAATTCTCAATGGTATGCCCTTTCCCGCCACAGTGGAAATCACATCAAGAATTAGCGTCAAAGTTGTATGGCAACCTTTATGGATCCACCTTCCAAGGGCGTAACTCAATTACTTCAACTCGAGCAACTGAGGATATAACTCGGCACAAGACATCGGAAGTGTGTCAAGATTCCTGGGAGGACACCTTTGGCCTTACTGATTGCTTTGCTTAGGTATATAAGCTTGCCTCTGAGGCACAGTAGTTGGTATCATTACAACAGTAGTATGATGATCTGAACCCTGATATCTGCCTTTCCCTTTTCGAGAATAGACCGCATTGGATTCACCCTCCTTTTTCCATTTGTGACCACAAAAAGACTTCTTAGTATTACCGACATTATTTCTAGTAACAACATCTTAGATCTTCCCTAACTTAATTCTGATTTCAATTCGCTCTCCGTGTGTTACCATCTCACAAAAAGTGGCTGATGTATTTCCATTTGTGTAGTATTGGAATTGTAATGTACTATTAAACATTCCCACTATCTCTCGTTCTATCATGGGAGGTTGAACCTTCACAACCATCTCTCACCACCTTTAGGAATATTCCTTAAGAGGCTCATCCCGCTTCTGGGACAAATTCTGCAATTGGGTTCTTGTGGGAGCCATATCAGTGTTATACTGATAGTGCATAACAAAAGCCTCGACCAATTCTCTCCATGTACAGATGTGGCTGCTTTCCAACTGCATGTACCACTCGAGTGGGACGCTTGTCAAGCTGTCTTGAAAGAAGTGCATCAATAGCTTCAATTAGGACTTTTGAAGTCCCAAATTCTAGAAAAATGCTCATTTTCACATTGTTTCATCTCTCTTCACACTAGAATCCTTAAGAAAATAGGAGAGTGAAATACATCTAGAAAGGAGAGGAAAGAGCATCTTGATCCAAATAGTTTCACTTCTTGCATGTCTAAGTTTTTGGTGGAATACTTGAACAAGAGTGTAAAGCTGAGCTTGGAATCATCATCACCAATTTTTACTCCTCTTCAAATCCAAGTTTAGAAAATTAAAGGTGGGGGTTCTATAGGTTTGTGATTGAGGTGTTATAACTATTTAGGAACATTGCATAATGGTTGGGATTGATTAGCATGAAATTGTGATTTTCTTGCTTGAAATCATTGTGTGGTGATGTTTGTTCATGATTAACAAGTTTGATGAACTTGTTTGATAAGTAAAATCTATTTCTGATAGTTATGCTAAGCTAACAACATGATTTCCTTGTCTGATTATAGAATGGAACAATGTTGTGCATGTCATTCGTCTTAGTAATGAATACTCAGTTGAATGGTTATGAAATTTTATGTGATGATCATGTTAGTACAAGCCCTAGAGGTCAATAGTTTTATTAGAACTAGATAGTTGTATCGAATTATTTATTAATAGTTAAAAGGCATTTATTTATTTATTTTCCAAAACATTAAAGTCCCTAGAATAGCTAGTCTGTTTAATGAAGCATAAAGTGTAACTTAATCATGAGATTCCATTAAACATAAGGACATTATTTAAAAAGTGTTTGTAGTCAAGAATTATTGTGATTTGGGATAACATTAAAGTATGGAGACTATTATGTGGATAGACTGATGATTACATATCATTGATCGTGGATAAAGAGTTATCAAGTCTTAACATAGGTATGAATATTACGAGTAATATTTATACTATAATGGCTCTCTATGAGAATACTACATATAATGTTATGCAAATTATCATAAGTAATTCTCATGGTGATAGTGGTGTATACCAAGTGGTGTATGCCATCTTTCGACCTGAAACAACTTTAGACCCTAGATGTGGAGTCAAGTGTTTTATTACTGATCAAACATCGTCTGTAATCGGATGACCATAAAGACAGTTGATGGATACTCCATAAATCATGATGAGGGACATGAGTGACCTAGATGAAATTTTTTTATCCTATGTAACATGATATATGTTGAAGAGCCTAATATTGAACTAGACAAAGGTGACACAGTTTATGCCTTTTGTTCAATATAGACATGAGAGCAAAAGGGTAGTTGTACACATAAGAATTATCAATGAAAGGTTTTGTCATATCACATGACATTTTCACGATTTGGGTAGCAGTGATGTGTTGCTAGATACTGCTCACTATTTATTATATTAAATAAGTGATTTAATCACTACTACAAAAAAGTCATACCACAACAGTTGGAAAAGGGATACCACAACGTCTGACCAACTGTTGTAAGGTATGGGGTGGTTGTATGTCTGGTGCTTTACATCACAGTCGTGTGACCGTGATAATAAGTCATGATGTTTGCTACCAATCATGGTGGTTATGTAACCAACTGTTGTGATATATATTTAGGTAATGGGTCTGAAACCTAACAACAACGATTTTTTGGAATATATTTAACATTTCACTATAGTTACAATAGATAATTGTTATGGAAAGTATGTTGAGTTTATTATATAATATGTAGATGGCTTGTTTTTCCATACACCTCACTAAACAAATACAACCATTCAAATTGTTTAAGAAGGACATAATCCGAAAATTAAATTATTCTTGAAATACAACTTAAACAAACCACAATTTTTTGAATTGCATTCATGTCATAACTCATATCTTACTCTTTAATATATAGAATATGGTTCAATAGTCTAAGCCCTTTATAAAATTGATTCTTTCTCTTCTAGTTTATTTTCAATAGCATCAATTTATTTACTAAGTCTGCCTCATCATCGTCACAATCATGATGATTGTGACAATAACTTATCATAGTAACAATCATGATGATAGTGACGATGGTGACAATGATGAGGTTGACTTAACCAATAAATTGATGTTATTCAAAATAAACTATAAGAGAATGAAATTTTGCAATTAAGGACTTAGTTCATTAAACCATATTTTATATGTTAAAGAGCAAGAGATGAATTGTGAGATGGATGCAATTCAAAAAATATTGAGTGATTGATAAGTGTAAATTGTAGCTATTTTTGTATATACTTTTTGTGAGTGTTTAGTTTCCCTTTTTGCATGGATGTTGATTCGTTATTTTCTTGAACCCTCAACTATTGTTTTGGTTTGAATTTTTACCTTGCCTTAGAAAGTAGGGAGTATTCACTTTAATGTATGGTTGAATTCAAGTTAGGCAGAAAAATGATTGTGCATTTATTGGTTGATTGCTATGAGGTTGAAAAGAAAAAGAAAAGAAAAAAACGTGAAAAAGAAATGAATAGAAAAAGAAAGAAAAAAATGAGAAAAAAAACTTCGAAAAAGAAAAACAAAAAGAGTTCGAATAATAGTGCTAATAAGTGATGTGTGTTGGTTTGAAATTTAGAATGAAGAAGAAGTTTGATTGAAATTACTTTGCTTGAGTCTTTGTGAGTTGATCACTCCCTTAGGTTAAGGAAAGTTTTGGTTTCGATTAGCTTTAGGACTTATCTCTTGTTTGTTAACCAAGACACATTACAACCTTGAAAATCCCTTGAGATTCTTACGTTTGTATTTTCAATATGATTTTTTAGATCAATGCATAATTTAGTCTTTTGTTTGCAAGATTGTGGATGAGCGAAAATATCTTATTTTGTGTGTTTTTCATCTATCGATGATTGTTTTTGATAGGTGTGACTCATTTGTGAACTAGTGTTATTTTAGAATGTTTGGCATGTTCTTTGTATTTAGCATTTGTTTCGTGTTTATGTTATCGTTATGGTTTAGTGGTAAGTATGTTTCATCGTGTGTACCATTTTTCATTTGAACCATTGCATTTGTTTTTCGTTTTCAAAACTTGTTGATTCATGATATTTTGGTTGATTACTTTTGGTTCTTTGATTTATTTGGATTTTTTTGAGGATAAACAAGTTCAATTTGGGGAGAGTTTGATAAGTGAAAATTGTAGTTATTTTTGTATATACTTTTCGTTGCACTTATCGAATTTTTGTTGTTAATATCGTTGAATAATTCCCCGCTTTTTGTATAATTATGTATAAATTTTATTTAATCGATTTTTTGTGTATTTTTGTACCATTTGATTGTTTTATATTCATTTTATAGGTATTGATGCATAATTGGAGCACGAGCAATAAAGTGTCAAAGATACGGCTTCAAACGCGTGACTTTGAGCAACTCTTCAACGAATAAGGCTCAAAATCAAAGAATAAGAAATAATCAATTTGGTTGATATTTAGGCATTGTTAGATATATAATTTAATAAGCTTTCCAATGCTTCGAACTTGGCATAAATCGGAGTTACGGTTCTTAAGTTATGGCGAAAACAAAAAGCTGATTTTTTTCTCATGACAATAGAGCGCGCTTAGCGGGATTGTGGCGCTTAGCGCGGTCCCTGGACAAAATTGCGTTAAAAGGGACAAAATATATATTTTTTAGGTTATGTTTTGGGGTATTTATTTCCAACTCATCAAACCTTCATTTTTTGATAGATTAGCTTAGAAAACAACATTAGGATCTTGCTTATGGATGATTTGAAGTGGATTTCTCTTCGACCGACACTGACAAACCGGAAGATTTGTGGTTTATCTCTTATCCCCTCTTTGTATTTCTCTTTTGTTGGGTATTGTTTGTTTATTTACTTTGAACATATATATTTGTTGATCATGGTGTTGTATAAAGCTTACTTTATAAATCAATCTTGATGTCTTCTTTGATCTTTTTGCTTTATGTTTGGATTTGGGTTGCTATAGACATATACCTCACAAATATTTATTAGGGATGTATACCTATTAGTTTCTAGATTCTAGAGATAGATTTAGAGCTAATATTCACTTTGGATGCTAAAACTTAATGCCTCTGTGTTGTTGTAGTGTGCAAGACATTGCCGATAGAGTAATACAGTTGGTCTCGCGACTTGGAGTTAGACATAACCTTCGTTGTGGGTACATCTCGTTGTGTCCGTGATGATTTTGACGAGTACAGTTGGTTGAGTGCAACTGATCGATAGATTTAAGTTTGTGACGAGTAGTGTACATTCATACCGGATAAGTTGTCTATCCTTTATAGTTTTGGTTTACATTTAACTTTTGTTGATACATTTTCCATACAACCCATTCAACCCCCAAACTCATCAACGATAGATTTTTCGAACGAAATTTCAATACACCAATCTCTGGGGACACGATACGATATAACCTAAATAACACCCGGTAAATAAAAACTTAATTTTTTCTTTCCACTTTTCCACAGCAGCAGTGATCTAAGTTGGTTATCAAATATAACATAATTTTCAGATTATAAGTTTCTAAACAAATTTAAATAAATTCATTTTCAGTGAAGGGTTAGTGAAGCAAACAATATGCATGATATAATAAACTCAAGCTTGAAATTGGAGCCAAAAAAATGACAATCTTGAAATTGCTGATTTTTTCAAAATTTCACTCTGTGCAATCGATTGCACTCTGGAAGCAATCGATTGCATCAGTGTTTTTTTCCAAATATTGCGCCAAATGCACTATGTGCAATCAATTGCATCCTAAGAGAAATCGATTGTACAGTGAAAAAAATGAAATTATTTTAATTATTTTTCTTTGCAAATAGAGATTTTATGGAAATAATACCGGAAAACCTTATTTGTCAGACGCATTGACTTGGTACCTACAAAACACAAATATACAAAGATAAAGACAAATATTTTTTGTATTTTGATTAGAAGTTAGTCAACAACACATATACAAAATACACAAATAAGGTGCTTGGAGATCCCTCAAGAGCAAACTTAAAGATAGGAGATAGAAAAAGAGGAAGAACCAACGCTAATGTGATCTTGTTATGATCGAGTTGATATGATATGATAGGGAATCGTAGGGGCAAAAATTGGAGTACAACAACATTGATCAGAAAAGTTTAAAGAATCTCTTAGTACAAACTATTCAAACCCCTGAACAACAAAAATGGACAGAAAAATTGCAAGGTTTTCACTTTGACATTTTTTACAAACCTGGGAAATCCAATCAAGTTGTTGATGCGTTAAGACGAATACAGACTGCAGATGACGCCATTCTTCTTTCCATTTCTTCTCCAATCCCTCTTCTCATCCAACAGCTTAAACGGTACTACAAGAACAATAATGAGGGTCAACTTCTCATGAATAAAGTATTAATTGATCACAACATACATCCATTGTTTCAAGTGAAAGAAGAACTCATCTACTACAAATGTAAGATATACCTACCTCAAGTGGATAAGTTACGCCAGAACATTATGATGGAATATTATTCAACTCCGATAGTAGGTAACTCCAGTCTCTAACCCACCTTGGCTCGCCTTTCATCTTCATTCCTTTGGCCTGGCATTTACAGAGATACAAAAACTTATGTTCAAACATGTTCTGTATGTCAGCAAAATAAATATGTTCCCAAGAAGAAACAATGACTCCTACAACCCCTACTCATACCCAATCAAGTTTGGGATGATTTAACAATGGACTTTATTACGCATTTACCTATTTCATTCGGACACACGGTAATCTGGGTCATATGTGATAGACTCACGAAGTTTTGTCATTTCATTGGACTCCCCACTAAGTTCACTGCTAAGGATTTGGCTTTACGATTTTTGGTGGAAATTTGTCCTCTGCACGACATACCCAAATCCATCATCTATGATCGTGATCCTATTTTTCGCAGAACCTTTTGGAAAGAACTCTTTTGTTCCCAATGCACCACCTTGAAGTAGAGTACGACATACCACCCTGAAACTGACGAAAAAACAAAGGTATTCAATCAGTGTTTAGAAACATATTTACAGTGTTTTGCAAGTGAACAACCAAAACAATGGTTCAAATACTTACACCTTACCGATTTTTGGCACTACACAGTTCCATCAATATGTCCCCTTTCGAAGACCTTTATGGACGAGCACCTCCTTCTGTTCTCCATTACACCTCATGTTTATCTCCTCTCTTGGTCGTGGAAATTTCCCTTCAATAAAGAGAAGAGTTATTATGTACTTTAAAACAAAACTTAGAGCACAGCAGAAAAATCATGGAAAATCAAAGCAACAAAAAACGTCAGGATTGTACCTTTTACTAGGCTGATATGGTTTAGCTTTATCTTCAATCGTACCTTCAAACATCATTCCACCATCGCGCCTCTAACAAGCTCTCCAAGCATTTCTTTGGACCCTTCAAGATCCTCTACAAGATCGGAAAAATAGTTTATCACTTGGTTCTACCTTCATCTTCCAAAATCCATCCGGTGTTTCACGTTTATCTTTGCGCTAATCACAGCCTAGTTCCCACCAACACCTTCACTCTGCTTCCTTCTGAGTTCAACGGCTCAGATGATTCCACCACTAACCCAGCAGATCCATGGCCTTCAACCTCACATGCAACGGTTGTAACGAACTTTAATAATAGTGAAATGCTTCACGATAACCACACAATGCCCACTCTGATGTTTTACGAAATTTAGAGGATGAAACATCGAAAAAATTTGAGGGAAAAATGTGAATATTTTAAAGAAGAGAGGTGAAAACACAAAAAATTTAGAGGGTGGAAGAGATAGTGAAGACAAAGGAGTTTTGGAAGTGTGTAGAAGTAGAGAGAGAACTAAGTTGAACAACTTACACTTCTCAAGTACTTTTGTTGTTAATAAGTGTTCATAAATACAAAAGGTGTTTAGTCCCAACGTTACTTCTCCAAATCCATCTGATCCATTAAAATATTTGGATTCCCTGCCATTCAATCCACACCATTTAATTTTCTGCCCTTTGAGACCTCGAAACAACGTGCTTCTCAATCTCTTCATAGCCAGCCAGTTTCCCATGATAACACGCTTCCCATTGAGCTGTCAAACAATAAAGTCCCTCTTAATACAGTTGTTTCTCATGCACCCATTATTAATTACAACCCTACACATCTCCCCAATCCCTCCCACTTGATGTCTCCTGACCTATCTTATTCGAACCCAGCACCTTGCAAACTTTCCAGTGGGCCTCCTAATTGGGTCATTTCCTTTCAATCCACCAACAACCTTTTTATACCCAACCTTAAGGATAAATGTGTTTTTAGACCGGATAGTTGTGATAGAAGGCCCATACGAACCAAAAACAAGCCCATATGAATGCAAGACTATGTTCCCAAATAATATGCTTTTGTATTTAAAGTGGGCTTGACCTATTAGTTGAATCCAATAGGATTCTGTTTTGTATTTAAAGCACTTTTGACTTATGGTTGTCATAGAAAATCATTCCAAATTTATATTTTATCTTTCTTCCTTGTTTTATGTTTTCTCTAATGATAAAATCTTAAATCTGGAAAATAGTTGCATTAATCATTTTATCATATTACATATAAAGCAACCAACTTATTATTAGAAATGTTTAATTTAAAAAATCACATGATATATTTGACCATTTTTTTATATTATAATATGATTTTGAATATAAATTATTTATATAATTTGGACCAACGTCTTAGATACACTGCTCGTCTATGTATGATATTAAATTTATTTATAACTAAAATCAAATATGTTTATCAATTTAAGATTTATGTGTAAATATTATTTTGACAAATACTAAATCACAATTAAACTCAAAACTATTAGTACTACTTAGTTTTATTTTGAAGTTTACAAGAGAAGAAGCTCACTAACTCATGTGTCTCAATAATGGGAAGAACCAAAGAAAAAGCTACATATTATGTAGCTGAAAAACACATATGTCACCCTTGAATTTCGTTTGAATTGAAGTGTTTCATTTGATGTATTTTTCCATTGCCCATTTCCATTGAACTCTCCTCTATTGAACCATGTTTTTTTGGAATACCTTTATTGTCACGGTATATAAAGTACAATATAAGTTGTATTGCCCCCAAAACAGAACCAAGACCATTAGGTACCTAAAACAAACATCATTCAACAATGAATTTTTTTTGTTCACAATATAAACTTAAACTTGCAAATTTAAATTAAAACCGATGAGAGAGTAACTTACAGCAATAAATGGGTCATGACCTAATAGACCAAAGATAAACCAAGAAGTGCCACAAAGAAACACAAACACTGACAAGAAGAATGGCATAAACTCCACACTTTTGCTTTTGATTACTAATCTCTGCACATTATTTCATATCAAGAATATATTATTACATATATTGATAATAGTGTTGCATTAACTAGTGAATAAGAGTTGGCTTACCATAATTGAGAGAGGAGAACCATACATGATCACAGAAAATATGGCCGCTGCGAAGCCACAGAACATCTTCCTATATGTGCCATGTAAGGCAAAGAGCGACACGAAAACAACCACGGAGAACACAGAGAGTACCACCGTGAATAAGCTAAAGATTTTGATTTTTTCTTTCTTAGGTGCAAATAGGATGAATATCAAAACATATATGATTTCAATTACTGCTCCAGTGCCATTTATTGTTGATACTAGTATGTTGTGTGGAGACACAAAAGGAAGACCATACCTGTGAGTGTTTAGAAATTAGAAGAGACTAAAAGACTAACACATTACACACACAACTCTTCTTCAACTAGTGAACTAAACCTTTTGAATATTCTATTAAGAGTTAATCTCTCCGGCTCGAGAGATTAATCATTGCAGTTGCACGCTGAGGATATCCAATTTATAAAAAAATCACTAAAGCAAAATTTCAATTGTTATTTTAAGGTATCATGTGATTTGACACAATATTTCACAATAAAATGGAAGCAAAAGCTAGCTTACCAAGCTGAAAGAAGACAATTGAGCAGTGTCATAACATACGGAATGCCTGAAAACTGCTCTGTTGATTTGTTCACTATAATCCTCTTGAATGTAATCCTGTACAAAACTCAATTCGTCACAATTTTCACTCAAAAAACTTCACTAATCCATACATTGAAAAAAAAACAAGAATAATCAAAAACCAAACACACTTTTAATCAGAAGATTATATAGAGAAGAAATCATGTAAGTAACACATACACCGGTGCCAAGAAGAGGAACAGAGCAGAAGCATTCCCTGAACCAATAAAAAATATTATGAGAAGAAGAAATTGTTATGGTAAAACTAAAAGGGATCATTACTCAGTTAACTCACCAAATATGCCAAACAAAAAGTGTGCAACATCCATGAAGTTCTTTCTTCTGCTTAATCTACACAAGTTGAGATGAGAGAAGCAAAGTGATAAAACAATGCTAATTAATTTCTTCAGAAATGGTAATGGAATATTACGATAATATGAGAGTACTAGACTAGTTAGTGGTGGGTTTATATAAGAAAAGGAAGTAACATGTTTAAGGTGAAACAAAGAATAATGGTACTGTTTTTGAAAGTGATCTTATCTATAGGATTTGATAATGAGAGATGTTTTACCTTACAGAACAATACAAATGGATTCAGATGCTCATTCTGTTGTCCATTGTTATATATACACGTACATAACTCACGAGATGTGGTACAGAAGAAAAAAAAGGTGGCTTACATTAACATGTGTGGACAACAATTGCCAACACATTTCAATGAAATCATGTGTTTTTTAAATAAAAATTGTTATTAGAAAAGGCCAATGTGAAGTAAAAAGCAGTAATGTTTTTCTTTGTTTCTAGTTTTCTCCGAATATATCATAGAATTTGACGAATCATTTGCTGGATAACTCAGAGGCTTCAATTACATTGTGCATTTGTGGGATTAGCAGCAGGTACATAATGTAAAGCTGGAAAAAGCCAAAAGCTTATTATTTATTATTTATGCATTGTTTACAAATTTGGGGGAGAGTAGATAAAGCACCCCATGCATATTCTCTTTCTTTTTTTTTTCAATACACAAATTTGTTTGAAAATGCAGCACTGACATTGAGTAGCACAACTCACAAATATACATGAAAAAAATTGCGAACCGGGTCGGACCTGACCTCTCTGGCCCGAATTCAATGAAAAACAAAAACAATTTAATTAGATATGAGTACAGGTGGAAAAAAATCCAAATTTTACTTAAGGAGACATGGTATTTATACGTGTCTCATATTCATTTCTGCTCAGTTTCGATCTATTAAATTAAATTATTACTTTTACCGTCATGTCTACTCACAAATAAAGTATATAAAGTAAGAAAATTAAAATTGAAGAAGAAATCATATTTAAAGACAACCGATGAATAATAATATTATATAAAAGAAATAAAACAAAGACTTTCTCTCTTACACTTTCACCATGAATATTTATCATATTTGTTTTATTGATCACAATATATATATATATATATATATATATATATATATATATATATATATATATATATATATATTGTTCTGGACTGGGTCCACCCTGGCTCAAAGCGCAGATAAAGGTTCAATCCAAGCAGATTCCTCGAGGAATGCGCACCCGCGGATCACCGCCGACGTGCCCGACCACAGACTGTAGTCACGATGCCCGCCATTGCCCGCGATACATAGCGTACCCGACCAACGATACTCCAGCTCGAGTCCTGCTCGAGCACCCTCCCCGTAGGGCAGATTCTGTCCATTCTAACCGTTATCGAATCCTCTAAACTCCGGAAAGACCGCGTCTTCGTCCCTCATCATTCTTCGCAGAACACCACCAGGAAGGGGACCACGTGCGGGGCCTCACTACGCACGTAGAATCTGGCAGTTTCTTTATTGGGTCAGTTCTGCTCAGCCCAATAAGGGAACCTTGGCCCAGCGCTAGGGGCTATAAATACCCTCTGTTCTCAGAGGGTCAGGTATTCATCTATTACGCACCTATACATTTTTTGCCTGCTCATTCAGTCACTCATCTTAGCATCGGAGTGTCTTGCAGATACCCCCCAATCTCACTCAAATTTTGCTCGAGCCAGTCGTGACGGTCCAAGTCTGATCAGGTACGACCAGTGGCACCGTCTGTGGGAAACTAGCTTCCCCGTCTTGCAAACTCTCGAAGACCAAAGCTCAAAATCACCTCCTACCGTCATGGCTGACCAAGTTCGGGACGACCAGAACGTCCGCGTCGTTGACGTCAACAACAACCTCACGGATAAAAACGGAATTCCCGACAACGCCGGCAACCCCGGCCATAGCACACTCCCCGGAGGCACCATCCCCGGGCCCTCGATCCACCGCGACGGAGCTACTGCCTCATCTTCTTCAGTCCCTCCGCCACTCGAAGAAGACAATACGGCTCCCCCAAACTATCTAGCTCCCCAATTTCAGGAAGTCCCTGTCCCCGCCGGGGCAGATGCCACGACCCGCACACTATTCGCAGCGATCAATCAAACCAACTTCCTCATCTTCGCCCAGGGGGAAAGATTGAGGGCGTTATAAGACGATAGAAGACTCGCAAGGAGACACAGGAGGCCTCAGACCCCACCTCCTCGAGTAACGGAGGTACATCTCCCATCTCCCCCGCGGAGACAATACAGAGACACCTCCCGAAGCCCGTCGCCCCGACCATCGGGGAGACGACCCCCCTTGGAGAGGCAACCCGTCATTGAAGTCGGAGGGCGCAACCACGGCCCCATACGACAAGAAAGAAGACACTCTGGAGACAGGCACGGGAGAATGGACCAACGAGCATCCCGCTCGAGGGGCACCCAGCACGACCAGGACCGTCGGGCCCGACAATACCTCAGGTCCCCGTCCTTATCCCCAGAGCAAAGTGACGAGGAGGATCCCCGCGGTCCCCTTTCACAAGCCATCATGGAGGCGCCCATTCCCCCGGGCATGGAAAACCTCCACATCTGAAAGAATACGACGGAGTCGCGGACCCAGTCGACCACATAGACGGGTTCGAGGCTATGCTGCATTACCATAACATCGGGGGACCCATCAAATGCCGGTTATTTCCCACGACCCTCAGAAAGGCATCAATGGATTGGTATAAAGGTCTCGCCCCGGGATCAATCACCTCATGGAGAAACCTAAAGAATCAATTCATAAGTTCGTTCACCACGTCTCGGCGACATCCAAAGACCGAGGCAACACTCGAGGCCATCATCCAGAGACAGGATGAAACCTTGAGAGAATTTATCAATCGCTTCAATCGCGAAGCCATACATGTCCTCTGCGCGGACCACATGAAAAGATACTTGCTGGAGAGGGGCCTCCTCCCCGGCACAGAATTCATAAAGGCGGTGGGCATCGAACCACCCCGAACATTTGATGCTCTCCTCGAGAAGGCCCGGGCATATATGGATTACAAGGAAAGGGAAGCGGCTAACAGAGCCCAGGACCCCAGAACTCGCGGATCCAGCAGCAACCCGTGCCAAGAGGCCGCTCCTCCTCGACGAACCGGGGAGAAAAGAAAAGAGGACAGACCCCTAGAAGTCCGAGAACAGAGAGGACCCTCGGGGAGTTTCACAGAATACACTCCGCTCACGGCTTCCTGCGAGCGCATCTTGGCGGAGTGTGCCAGCACGGAATTCAAAGATGGCGGAGTCAAGTGCCCCCGGCCAGCTCCTACCAAGCCCGGAGTAGACAAGAGAAAATACTATCAGTACCATAGGAGCCATGGTCATCTGACTGAAGACTGCGTCCACCTCAAGGACGCCATCGAAACCCTTATCAAGATAGGGAGGCTCGCCCAATACCGGCGAAACGATGCTCCTCGTTGCGACGCCCGGGAGACGAGAGAACCGGAGGAGGATGCCCGACCATCTGACGAATCGGTCCCCATCCAGACCGCCTTCTCCGTCACCAGACCGAAGGACTTCTACGTCCCCGAACACCTGCAGGAGCCTCTCACGACGCACAGCAGGTGGGAGTATTTTCCCTCCACCATGGTCATCAATGGTGGAGGATTCAATGACCTAACCATAAATTCGGCCAAGAGGAAGCTGGATGAACTGGTCGACTCTGCCCCTCCTCAGACAGTGACTTTTGAAAGGGTGGAAGGTAGGTCAGAGCCTATCACCTTCTACCTCGAAGAGCTCCCTGGAGGAGCCCCCAACGCGGTCATTCCTCTGCTGATAAGAGAAAGAATGGCTAACTTTGACGTGCATCGCGTCCTCGTCGATGAAGGAAGTTCCGTCGACGTGATGTACAGTCAATTATTCTGGACTCTGCAGCTAGACGACTCGCACCTCTCGCCGTATGTGGGGTCGGACTTACAGGGCTTCAACAGCTCGACCTCCAAACCTTGGGGATACGTCGAGCTCATGGTTACCTTCGGCGAGGACACGACGACGAGGCAGGTCAAGGTGCGCTTCCTCGTCATCGAATGCCCGTCCCTCTACAACTGCATCCTGGGAAGACCAACACTGGCAGAACTGACCGCAGTACCTTCCACCGTCCACTTGAAGATGAAGTTTTACACCAAGAGGGCACGGGTCGCCACCATCCAGGGGGACCTGGCCGCTGCTCGAAGGTGTTTCAATGCCGCATCCAAGGGACGCGACACGGTCGACACTGGGACAAGGCCCGCCAAGAGACCAGCGACGGCACGACAGGAGCCCGACAAGCCAGATCCCGTCAAAACGGAAGAGCAGAGAGCTCCCCCAAAGGTCGACTCCATAGCTCTGGATACTCGTTTCAATCAGGACGAACCTCCCAATGGCGAGCAAATCTCCCTCCGACCAATTCCGGACGGGGACTACGAGCTCGTCCCCCTCGGCGAGGACCCAAGCAAAGGAGTGAAGATTGGAATCGACCTCCCCGACCTGGAAAGGAAGCAGATCAAAGCCGGCTTACGCAAGAATGCGGACTTGTTCGCGTGGAGCGCCGCGGAGATGCCCGGACTCGACCCCGAGGTCGCCTGTCACCGTCTCGCCATAAATCTGGCCGCTAAGGCAGTAGTACAACGTAGGCGTAGGCATTCTCCCGAGAAAACAGAGGTTGCTGAAAGAGCTGTAAAAGACCTCCTAGAGGCGAATTTTATTTCTGAATCCCGGTATTCAACCTGGCTGTCAAATGTTGTACTAGTTAAAAAGAATAATGGAAAATGGTGAATGTGTGTTGATTATACTGATCTCAATTGGGCATGCCCGAAGGATGCTTTCCCTTTACTAAACATAGATATGCTGGTCGACAACTCAGCCGGTTACAAGATACTGTCGTTCATGGATGCCTATTCAGTCTATAACCAAAACCCAATGGCCATGGGCGACAAGCATTGCACTATCTTCATGACCAGCTCGGGCAAC